TTTAATTCAAATGATGGAAAAATATACTAACTTCTAATTTGTAAGGATTTCGATACAAAGTGTTTATTTTTAAACCCTCCACCATAATATAGAGGGTATATTAACTTTGTCATTCCGTTTGTAACTCCTCGAAGGCTAAAATTTTGCACACCTGTTTATTTTTCCAGTAGGCAGGTTAAGTTCGTAAATGGGCCATGTAGGTCCACGTTTTCATATAGCCCCCATATAACGGTACCTCTCGATATTCGGAATTCACCGGAATTGTTTCAACTTTGGTATTTGAAGTTCGAAATGGATGCTACAGCCTATGACAGAAAATTATCTGGGCAGGTCCACGTCTTCGTATAGCCCCCATATAACGGTACCTCCCGATATTCAGTATTTTAATGATTTTAGCGACATTATTCACCGGAATTGTTTCACATTTGGTATGTGAGATTCGCAATGGATGCTTCAGCCTATGGCAGAAAATTGTCTGTGCAGGTCCACGTCTTCGTATAGCCCCCATATAACGGTACTTCCCAAAATTCGGTATTTTGATGATTTTTGCGCCATTATTCACCGAAATTGTTTCAAATTACGTATTTAGTGTTCGTAATGGGAAAAAATCAGATTACCAAGACTCAACAATACTTACGAAAGAAAAAAAATGAAACACAACTTGGCGATTGGTTGATATAGTACAAAGATATGACCACCACCACTATCAAAATTTTTAAATGGAAATAATAAACATTAAAAGGAAAGACAAAATAAGTTTTGAAGCAGAACAGAAATTAGCATAATGCTAGGTGTTCATTACTGTTGAATTGTTGGTCCCACGTTATATGCTATAATGCCCATTTCACAGCTGTGTAACAGAAAAATTATATATATTATAGTATGCGTGCTATTTACACTAAAAGTTTAAAATAAGAATTTGAAAAGAGCCAGGAAACTATGCTGAGTAAATAGTTAACTGGAAAAAGCAATGTCTACTGAAAGTGGGAAAAAGATATTACAAAACAGAGCTCACCGAAGTTTTTTATCACAACTTAAGCAACAACACTTTGTGTTGCCCACAATGACCTCCCAACCATGGTCGAAACAATTAATTAGCACTGTAAGCATCGCTCAGGTTTTGGACCACTAATCTGTTACAAACAAGCTTACCAGATCAGTCCATAGCCCAACAAGTCAAATGTTTTATATTTCACTTCATATTAAAAGTCTTATATTTAGCCACAGATATATTATTACTATGAATCTTATGACTGAATAACAAAAATAAATTAAATTTATTTATATGATTTCATTGGTACCGAAGTTTAGTTTCGAATCATATAAAAATAAAAAATATAGGGTTAAAAATAAGGGACATTGGGTTAAACCTATTTGATAGCATTTAACTCAATAGGCTGAAATTGCAGAAGAAAATATAAAAGAAATCCAAAAACAAAAATATAAAAGAAGAACCAAAAAAATAAAAAGCTGTAAGTTCGACCGGGCCAAACATCGAATACCCTCTACCACTATAAAAAATAAATAAATAAACAAAATCCGTTAAAAGTTCTGTTAAAATCTTAATAATACCGAATGTAGGCGTTATATTAGGATCTATACGATGACATGGAACTGCAGAGGCAACTTTTGTCATAAGCCTTGAAAATGTCGCTAAATAATAAATATCGAATATAGGAAGGTACTGTTTAATGGGGGCTATACGAAGACGTGGACCTGCACAGACAGTTTAAATGCCAAATTTGAAACATTTCTGGTGAATAATGTAGCTAAAATCATCAAAATACATGGATACATGGACCTGTACAAGCAATATTCTCTCATAGGCTGAAGAATCCAATGCGAACTACAATTACCAAATTTAAACCATTTCCGGTGAATAATGTCGCTTAAATCACCAAAATACCGAAAAAAGGGAGGTACCGTTATATAGAGGCTATACCAAAACGTAGACCTACATGGGCCATTTTTAAAACCAAAAGTCCTGCAGACATATTATATTTATGTAAAATTTTATCAACCTACTTCATTTCGTGCGGAAGTTAGAGTGATTTCCACAGACGGGCAGAACGTCGGGTATCGACATAGAATTTTATGCTGATCAAGAAAATATATATTCTTGTTGGTTTTAAAATTTATATTTCGATGTGTTACAAACGGATGCCAATTAAAGTATATATATATATAAATTTAAGTATATAGGAGAAGTGTATAAAACCGAATGAAACTGGTAGAAGATTTCTGGGCATCTGTTAATAATTTTTCTCCCAATTGAATTTCAATCAATTCTAACATCTGTTTTTGCACCTTCAATTTACAGGTGACCATGTATTTTTTCCCCAAAGCCCTTCACTTAATCATCTGCCTTTTTGGCTCAATGTGACCGCCTTTAATTCAAATGATGGAAAAATATACTAACTTCTAATTTGTAAGGATTTCGATACAAAGTGTTTATTTTTAAACCCTCCACCATAATATAGAGGGTATATTAACTTTGTCATTCCGTTTGTAACTCCTCGAAGGCTAAAATTTTGCACACCTGTTTATTTTTCCAGTAGGCAGGTTAAGTTCGTAAATGGGCCATGTAGGTCCACGTTTTCATATAGCCCCCATATAACGGTACCTCTCGATATTCGGAATTCACCGGAATTGTTTCAACTTTGGTATTTGAAGTTCGAAATGGATGCTACAGCCTATGACAGAAAATTATCTGGGCAGGTCCACGTCTTCGTATAGCCCCCATATAACGGTACCTCCCGATATTCAGTATTTTAATGATTTTAGCGACATTATTCACCGGAATTGTTTCACATTTGGTATGTGAGATTCGCAATGGATGCTTCAGCCTATGGCAGAAAATTGTCTGTGCAGGTCCACGTCTTCGTATAGCCCCCATATAACGGTACTTCCCAAAATTCGGTATTTTGATGATTTTTGCGCCATTATTCACCGAAATTGTTTCAAATTACGTATTTAGTGTTCGTAATGGGAACTACAGTCTGTGACAGAAAAATGTCTATGCAGGTCCAGGTCTTCGTATAGGCCCCATATATCAGTACCTCCATATATTCGGTATTTTGACGAGTTTAGGTACAATACCCACCGAAATTGTTTGAGATATCGTATTGGACGTTAGTAATGGATGACATAGCCTGTGACAGAAAATTCGGTCTTCGCACAGCTCCGATATAATGGTACCTCCCTATATACGATATTTTGATGATTTTAGCTACATTATTCACCGTTTATTTCAAGTTTCGAATTTGAATATGGTAATGGCTAATGGCAAACTATGCCTATGTATGTCCACGTTGTATAGACCCCAATATAACGGTAATATTAACAAAATTTTTTAAGGATTTTATTTTTTTAAATTTCCAAATTCGTTCCAAATGGTGGAGGGTATTCAAAGTTTGGCCCGGCCGAACTTTCTACCTTTTAACTTGTTTATCTGATCACTTTAATAATACGCGAATACCAAAAGAAACCAAAGAGCAAAAGAGAATATCAAAGAAAATCAATCATTCACTTATGTTGTGGTTGTTGTAATGGTCATCTGAAGTCCCTCAAAAAAAAAAAAAAAAAAAAGTAAATAAAAATAATAATAATAAAAAAATAATAAAAAATCACGGTGGCTGATCTGCATATATTGGGCTGAATTGTTCTGTTTAGTTTCTTTAAGAGTATGATCTGATAAGAGAGTGTATTGGTAGAATTTTATTAAAAAGATACATAGATGTTAATAAAGGCAGTGGTGGGATGACATCAGTTACCACAATATGTTCTCCAAATCAAGTCATCACTTCATCAGCAACATTTCCGTCCGATCACCATTCAATGCGAATAACTGCGTCTAAGTTCATAATGATCATTTCAAAAAAACTGATTTATACCCACTTGGTGTATTTGTTGTTGGTGCATTATATGATGATTTTTGCACAAAAAATGGAATAATTTCTTAATTTCTCTTCGTCTTCCTGATTCTTTACACTTGCACATCATACTATAACGATTTTTTCTAATGATTAGGATATATTTTTGATAAAGGAGAAAATTGGTACAAGTTTATAAAAATCATTTCTTGAGAAGAACAGCTTAACATATCCTCGTGTTTTTATTTAAACTGGTTTAAACTAATCGACTATTGCAAGCACCATTACAAATCCCCCTGCCCCTTATATTTCCACCGAAAACTGATTTCACTTGCAACTAGAAGGCTTCATTGGCGAATGTCCTTTGGATGAAAAATTCCCAGTTTGCGCCAAATGCGTTCTTTGAAGAAGGTCGGTGGGAATTTCACATTGTATCCTAGATCAAAATTTCTCTGCTTAAAGTTACGACGAAACACTTCTTGACCTTCATTATAAATTATTTGTCTACCGATGCGTTTGTTGTCAATTGTTGCCCGAACTTTAAGAAATAAAGGTCAGAAATTAATTTTTCAAATTTAATATAATGTTTCGTTTATTCCACGGTGTGACGACAAGGGATCATCATGAGTTTACCTTAGAACGTCCAAGGGAATCCCCGAGGAATCCACAACTTCAACGCTAGGTCGTAATCACAAATCCCCCTGCCCCCTTCATTTTTACCCAAAATGATTACGCTTGCAACTAGAAGGCTTCATTGGTGAATGTCCTTGGCATGAAAATCTCCCAGTTTGCGCCAAATGCGTTCTTTGAAGAAGGTCGGTGGTAATTTCGCACTGTATCCTAGATCAAAATTTCTCTGCTTAAAGTTACGACGAAACACTTTTTGACTTTCATCATAAAATACTTGTTTGGTCCGGAGGTTCAATGCACTTTCGCTTCTTTGAAACTTATTGTTCATAATGTTCCTAGTCATTTTATACATGATTGCTAGCCAGTCATTCCTATTAAAATAAACAGTTCTGTTCTTAAGCATTTGCAACTGCCGAAAAATGGCATATATCGATGCTTTTGTCGTCACATGTTGCCCGAACGTTAAGAAGTAAAGGCCAGAAATTAAATCTATGAATTTAATATAAGGTTTCGTTTATTCCACGGCGTGACAACAAGGGATCGTCATGAGCTTACCTTAGAACGTCCAAGGGCATGCGCCGAGGAATCCACACCTTCAACGCTAGGTCTTCATGGACCTTCTCACCCGTAGCATGATCCATCGTCCTATAGAAATAACCATCAATAATCTTCAAATCTGGTATTGTGTCTAAAGTTCTACTTACCTTCTTTATAAGTTGATTGTACCCATTCGATTTAAAGTGATCAGAATAGAGACCAACAAACAACCAGCATTTACTTCTAAAAGAGAGTGATCATCGAAATTTATTACGCTGGGTTTATTGATTTTTTTTCGACGTAGGGACGATTGGAAACTCTTCACCCTCCGCATCCTTCTGCACCAATACTCTACCTATCCCCGTTCTATATGCATCACAGTGTGTTTGCGCCAATGCGGGGAAAGATGCAAAGCTCAAATCAATATATAAATAAAAACACAATAGGGGGGTTTTAGTTTTAATAATAATGGCAATGGCCGTATTTATTAATAATAATAAATAATAGTTGGTAAGACAGATTACCTGATTTGCACAATAGCGGGGGAGCGCGACTTCGTATCGAGAGATAGAAGAGACGAGTGTAAAACCAACGATCAAAACATGAAGGAAGGTGGAGGCTTTGGCGCCATTCGCCACTCGTTGAAATCTGTTTACATTTACGTTGACAGATCTAAACGAGGTTAATCATTTACAAATTAATTATGCGTTAACCCATTGTTAACGTTACAAAACAATAATTACCAATCTAAATTAAACATGCCGCCCACCTTGAAACATATTGAGATGTTGTATCTAAAATACAATAATAAATACATTTTTTCAACTTTTTTTCCAATTTAATTTTAATTTAATTCAATTTTTTTTTTCTTTATTTCTCAATTCATATCATTTTTTTTTTTTAAAACATTGTGTAACATTATGTTACATATGCCCGACAATACCCACCCAAATATGGTGTAGTGGGCTATCGGCAACCCTGGCGTCGCTTGCACCCGATGAGTTACGACCCTGGCATAAACTTCCGGCCCGAGTACCAAGGCCACCCGACCAGGCCTATTAAAATCGGGATCTGCCAAAGGAAGACCTAAAAATGAGTCACGAATGCGCTCGGGGATTACCGCTGTAGGCGTAAGCGCATGGTCCAAATTGGTTACCACAGCCACAATTGAAATGGACTGACTCCGGTCATAGATCGAACTAACGGTCAGCCGACATATTTGGCTACCTTCGATTCTAGAAGTAGAGAGTCGAAGATTATGCGCCAAAGAGGAACATATCTGACTCTGCCTACTACACGGGTCCAAAACCGCCCTCACAATTATGGGTCGATCGGACGACATAATTTTGACTATCAAAGTCGGGGATAGGCAGATACCTGTTTGGAGGGACAACAAGCCGACCAATCCTATCTGCGAGGGGGGAGCGTTCTCAGACGGACGACTATAGGGACTGTTACGTGACCAATACCTATACTCGGTCCGCGGACGACGCTGACGATTATTAGTGGGTTTAACCACGGTCTTCGTGTCGTCATGAAGGAGGGTGTCGTGTTCTTCATTGCATACGGCACATTTTCTTTTGCTTCGGCAGTCCCTAGCTTGGTGGGATTTAGATAAACACCGTATGTAGTCATTGTATTTTAGGACAATGCGACGTCGCATGTCAACATTCATAACCCGGAAGTCACTACATCTATCCAGCGGGTGCATGCGATCACAAAGTCGACATTTATGTGAGGCCGCAGATTAAACTTTATGGGTTTCGGACCTTAAATTTTTTTTCCCACTCCTCCAAATGAGGTGTGGCAACCGGAGCCGCAGATGGACCCGAAGATCCGGACTCGGTTTGTAATGTATCATTTTTGGGGGGTGAATCAAGAACCGGAGCCGCAGATGAATCCGTTGCTATGGATTTGGACTCGGTTTGCATCTGTTCAGCGAGGGCCGCAGATGAATCCGCTTTATCGGATTCGGACCCACGTTCTGATATTTTTACAGCCGCGATCGGCTCAATAAGGGCTGCTTCCACTGCAGCTGACGACATTCCAGCTTGGGGATCGGTGGTCCGAGGTTCATTGTATTCAATACCGTCATCAACATTCAAAAGTTCTTCTTCCGAATAGATTTTCACCGACAAACTATATAATGAGAAGAGAACAATATTATTCGTTTGCGGGAGTGTGGTCGGTCAAGACGACCAACTTTGTAATGGGCCGTCTTACAACGCCGTTTTCCGTTCGAACGTCCGCGACTCTAACATGACCGTCGGTGCCCGGAAAAACATTTTCTATACGCCCTAATATCCACGACGTTGGGGGAAGCTGATCATGACGAACAAAGAGTTCTACACAAACAAGAAAAAGCTTCCAAAATCTCTTTAAATGTCGACGGAAAGAAAGCAAAGTGACATTTAACGGGGCGCATTTCCATTTCAGTACTAATCGGAGCCAGATTACGAATAGACCATTCCGATTTAGTTTTACCTAGCCAACTAGGACCGTTCCACTACAGGGGGGAGGCGGACAATTCTATCGGAGACAATCCTCGACTTCCTAAATCAGCGGGGTTATCTTCGGATTTAACATGGTACCAATTATGATTGCCAACATTTTCTACAAAAGTCGTCCAAGTAGAGGGGGTTCTCTTCAACCAGGCAAGAACTATAGTCGAATCTGTCAAACAATAAATTTGATTAAATTGCAGATCTATTTCCCGCACAATAGTTTTCAATAGGTCTGATGCTAAAACTGCTCCACAAAGTTCCAAGCGAGGAAGCGAAATTGATTTCAAAGGGGCGACTTTCGTTTTGCACGATAGCAAATTAACGAAGATTTTTCCATCGGGGGACTCGACACGTATATATACTACCCCCGCGTATGCCTTTTCCGAGGCATCGGAAAAGACATGAAGCTCAACAGAAAATCCTGGAACATATTGAACCCATCTAGGTATCCTAATCGAGTTAACATGCTGATATGTTTCGACAAAACTTCTCCATTCAGCCTCAGTAGCTGCCAGAAGTTGATCATCCCAACCAATGTTGTCCAGCCAAATCTTCTGCATTATCATTTTCGCCCTAACAATCACAGGGGCCAACCAACCGACAGGGTCAAACAATTTCGCGATTGCCGAAAGAACTTCCCTTTTAGTGAAGTGTTTATTGACAATAGGACTCACTTCGAAGAAGAAACAATCTAAACGCGCATTCCACCTAATACCCAGGGGTTTAGAACTACTAGCTTCTACAAACGATAAAAGCTGAGCATCTACCAAATGCTCAGGGGGGAAGCGATCCAAAATAGCTCTATTATTCGCTGTCCATTTTCGCAGCTCGAACTTTGCCGACGATAGTGCCCTAATCAACTGGTCCCTAGCTGCCAACGCAGTCTCGATGTCGTGAGCTCCTGCCAAAACGTCATCAACGTACATACATTTTCGCAATATATGCGCCGCGAGGGGAAACTCTGACTCAGTATCATCGGCCAGTTGAAGAAGCGTTCTAATCGCTAAATATGGTGCACAATTTACACCGAACGTCACTGTCTGTAGTTCGTAGTCTAGGACCTGTTTTGTTGTTGAATTCCGACACAAAATTCTCTGAAGGGGCGAATGCTTTGAATCTACACGAACTTGCCTATACATTTGAGTAATGTCCGAGTTAAACACGAATTTGAAGATACGCCAACGGAGGATCAAAAGAACTAAATCTTGTTGTAACGTTGGACCTACGCGCAATATGTCGTTAAGACTCTGCCCATTCGAAGTTTTATTTGAGGCATTAAACACTACTCTAAGTTTCGTGGTTTGTTTTGCTAGGTTTATGACGGGGTGATGTGGTAGATAACACGAAAGGACACCCATAGAAGTATTTGCGGGCACCGGCCTCATGTGGTCAAGTTCCAAATATTTCGATAATACCTTGTCGTAAACTAGTTTTAATTCGGGCTTTTTCAATAAAGAACTCTCATTCCGATAATATTGTTTGAGGACGTTCGCGCGAGACTCTCCCAAATACCCGATAGCGCTAATCTCAGATTTAAGTGGCAGCGTAACTATATACCTACCCTCTGAGTCCCTACGAGTAGTCCGGGCGTAATTCTCCTCACAAAAACGGTCCGATGGAGATAATATTTTGCGTTTAGGAGGCTCTTCGATTTCTTAAAATCGCAAAAGGGTCTGTTGGATTTTGTCTTCCTCTGCTACATCGACAGTAGTGGCAAATGTTCAAACTTGTGTGGCTGGGATAGGACCCGTAACAAGCCAACCAAATATAGTATTTTGAGCAAGGAATGATCCAGACAAAATGGGACGACAACCATCTAACAATATTTTTGGATAAAGATCAGCACCTAACAGCAGATCGACGGGACGAGATTCAAAAAGGTTAACATCTGCCAAGCGAAGATCGGGAATTTGTGACCTTAGGTCGGAATTAACCACAAACGAGGGAAGATTTCCAGAAATGGCACGCAAAACTAAAACGTTGGTTTCCAATTTCAGTGAAGGGTCGAAAGGACTTTTAATTTGTATAGGACAAGCTTTATTAGCAGTGGCCGAGAGTGAACAACTAACTCCCGAAATTACAGCATTCGTAGAACGCGCAGGGAGCTTTAAACGAGTTTGGAGTCTCTCTGAAATGAAAGAGGACTCGGAAGCAGGATCTATTAACGCCCTGGCAGGAAATGAAACACCTAGATGAACAATATTCACCATTGCGGTACCTAAGAGTACAGCCTTGTTCTGCGCGGCGTGAAATACTTGTCGGGGCAAGCCACCAGCGGATGTGCATGGCGCGCAATTTTCTAAATTAGGGGGACAGTCGAAGGCGTAGCACTCGAATTTTGGGGGGCATTGCTAGTAACGGTGGAAGTTCGATTTGAATTACTAGAGGTAATATCATCCCGATGCAACAACGTATGGTGGGACTTGTTACACTTCGAACACCGACGTTTGCTATCACAATTCTAACTTCATGATCGTTCCTAAGACAGTTGATACAAAGATGATGACGTTTCATTACTTTGTATCGATCAGCGGGTATGAAACTCTTAAAGCGGGGACAGTCATACAATTTATGACGTTGATTTTGACAAATTAAACAATTTGAACCTCTCGAAGCGCGGGGAGAACGCGGTGGCTCTGGAATTCTGATATTTGAATGATGCGCTTGAACTTTACTATTATTTGACCGCTTAGACTGATCTGTAGCACGCATATCATGGAGGCACATGAGCGTACGTATGTGCTCAGTGAGGAAGGCATCCAAGTCCTTCCAGGACGAAAGAGAAGATTTATCCTTAACACTCTGCTCCCAAAGAGTCTGAGTAATTTTTGGCAATCTCTGGAGACACAAAAATACTAATATCGGATCCCAATTTTCCGTATTGACATCATACACGGACATCGAAGACAGGCATCCATTGATACCACGTTGGATCGACTTTAATCCCGAACTAGTCTCACTATAGAGGACCGGAATATCAAGCAAAACTTTCAATTGGTTATGAACCAGAAGCCGAGGGTTATCATAAGTTTCAACTAGAGCCTTCCACGCGAGCTCGAAACTACGATTAATTAAGGGGAACTTCGATACAATCTCGCGAGCTTCACCAGAAGTCTTTCTAACCAGATGACAAATTTTGTCAACGTCGGTAAGACGACCATTAACAATATATATAGCCGTAAACAAATCCCTAAATGTTGGCCATGAGTGGAAATCACCTTCATATATGTCCGTATCGCACGGCGGTAGGGCAAGGTTATGGACACAATCCAAATGAGAAACTTCCTCTGTAGTTCTAAAACTGGCACTATTATTTCTCACAATAGAGGAAAGCGGAGTTTGTATCTGCGAATGATTTTCGCGGGAAGCATGAGTCGAAGTACTCAAATTGTTGCCCGTAGCTTGCAAGTTTTGTATGGGCGACTTAGCTGAAGTCTCGCCCGGCGTTTCTATCAACGAAGCAACCGAACCACAAAGACTACCATTAATAGAGGAAGTACGATATTTTTTGAATTGCCCTAGCTTTCTATTAATTGCGGACTGGCAATCGACATAGATTTGAAATGACGAATTGTATTTCTGATCAACCGCATCGATAACTTCTTTCGTCGTCTCTACTGACGACATCATATAGTCACAGCACTTTTCAAATTTGTCCTGTGCTTGCGTCCAAAGTTTTTCTACTGCACTAAGATGAGACTTTAGCGCATGAATATCGAGCTGGTCATCACGCATCGTATTGAAACGAGCATTAAACTGGATGACCGCCTCCGAAGTTCTAGTGAACATATCAATTGGGGTGAACGACATTGTGAATAAATTTTCCGAAATCTGTACTACAAAAAGCAAGAAGGGAACGACTAAAGCACGATTTGCTCAGATAATTTATACAAAATCCACGAATTACTGATTCTTCTTCGCACAATATACGAAGAAAACACAAAAGTTTATACAAAAACTCCAAAAGTTTAAAAAAATCAACCGAGTTTTTCCAAAGTCCAAGAAAAATACCGAAAAGCTTCCGAAAATCTAACAAAACCGCACTATAGGGCAAAAGAAATCGAAAATTTTCGAGAAATAAATGCCTTGAACCTCTCACACAATAGTGATATATCAAAAAACCGGTCTAAAATCACCAAAATTTTAATCTCCGATGAGATATTTAGCAACCAAATGCAAATATACGATGAAAAATATGTGAAAATGTTCAAATAAATAATAAAAATTTCAAATATATATTCAAAGAAATATCAATAAATAATAAAAAATTTCTTAAATTGTGAAAGTTCCCAAAAAAACCGTATTTTCGCGCACAAACAATTCAAAATATTCAAATTTTTATTATTTTCTACCGAAAATATTGAGATTTTGTTATTTTTATTTCCAAAGTTAACCTACTATTTAGGCAATCAAGCTGCCAAATGTAGCGTATTCTCAAAAAATAAATTTTAAAAAATAAAAATTTTAATCAAAATCTCCAAAAGTAATTAAAATTTTGAAATTCCAAACGAAAAATATCAATTTTAACACTTTTTATTTAAAAAAGTCGTATTAGCCGATCGTAGGGTTTACGCGTTATTAATTTTTCAAACACGTCGTTTTCTAACACCCAATTATCATTTAATAATAATCAAAAATAAAATTTGAAAAATGTTAATATTTTATGTTGGTTTCGTTTATCGAGGTTCACCTGTAAAATATGTAAGGTTGCGTTTATCGAGGGTCACCTGTAACACAACAGACAATACCAAACGTATGTACGTATATGTGTGTAAAGCGGCTGACCGACTAAGCAACCATATTAACCGTATGATTTTTATGGCTGTACCAATTACAACAAAACCAATGCAATTGAAGTAAGTGTATTTTTTGGGGGTGATTTGTGAAAAATATTTTAAATATTAAAAATGCAATTTTGCAAAAAAATTAACAATTTTAAAATGCCAATTATACCAATCGATGGGGAATTTGATGCACATTAAAATGACACCAATATTTTATTTTCAACAGAAATTCTAAAAAATACACTTTTCTTCAATTATTTTGATTTTTCTTTATTTTCAATTTGCCGTCGGCAAAACAATATTTGCAAACTAGACGGAGGGGACGGGGTAAGCGACGCGTTGTAAGACGGCCACAAAGAATATCAACGACGCGATTGTTGTTGTTTTTACACAATTTGTTTCGATATTTTTTTCTTTTCTCTCTTCAAGAAAATTATTTATTTAAATTCACCGGCACTTTTTTCACTGTACGTACCTGATTGTTTGTGATAGAAACACGATGATGATGTTAAGGAGATGATGTGGTGGACTGTATAGATGGTGATGATGATGATGATATGCTTTGCAATTAGAAGAAAAAAGAAGAAAACGATTACTTCTTTTACCAACAGCTCGTTCGTAATCCGGTACGAATGGACCAATGTTTGCGCCAATGCGGGGAAAGATGCAAAGCTCAAACCAATAAATAAATAAAAACACAATAGGGGGGTTTTAGTTTTAATAATAATGCCAAAGGCCGTATTTATTAATAATAATAAATAATAGTTGGTAAGACAGATAACCTGATTTGCACAATAGCGGAGGAGCGTGACTTCGTATCGAGAGATAGAAGAGACGAGTGTAAAACCAACGATCAAAACATGAAGGAAGGTGGAGGCCTTGGCGCCATTCGCCACTCGTTGAAATCTGTTTCCATTTACGTTGACAGATATAAACGAGGTTAATCATTTACAAATTAATTATGCGTTAACCCATTGTTAACGTTACAAAACAATAATTACCAATCTTAATTAAACACAGTGAATATAAAAATGTTTTGAGAAGTCTGGGCTATGTAGAATCGGGGTGGTGCTCAGGTGGGTCTTTAAAGTTTTAAATGATTTTTGAGCCTATCCAATCCAAACGAGTCTACGATTTACTCTGGTTGCATCGGTCAATGATTTGACTGATGCAGGGACTGGGAAGTCGGTATCTGCGGGAATGTGACTAAATATTTAACTTCTAACATGCAAAAGTAGCTTTTCCTACATTAATCGTTTATTCAGATTCCATTATTTTACGAATTCGATATGATTAACAAATCATCCAAATAAACAAACATCTCCGCCCTAACATTTGACGGTATCACTTTGTCCATGAGTCTATACAGGGTCTGGGATTTGACATAAGGCATCTTTGAGGTCTAAGTTTCTGATGTATTGTGCTTTTGGTAGGCGACTCACCAAAGGTAAAG